TGTGGAAACAGGCCCTTCAGCCCAACAAGCCTATACCAACCCTGAACGCATCCCACCCAGATCCATCCCCTATAACCGCCCTAATCTGCACATCTCTGAACACATGGGCAATTTAGCACGGCCTATCCACCTAGCCTGCACATCTTTGGACTATAGGAGGAAACCGGAGCACCCGGAGGAAACCCATGCAGATACTGGGAGAATGTGCAAACTCCACACAGACAGTCACCCGAGGGTGGAATTGAACTTGGCTTCCTGGCATTGTGAGGCAGCAGTGCTAACCATACTGGTGAGAAATTGATACGTACAGAATTATACCTCAGCACAGAGCAAGTGCCTTTCGCAAGAGCAGACTGAACGAAAATATATGTTATTCCATGACTGGTTTTAGACTCGTGTCAATGTGTTGAATTTATTAGGTTTTGCTCACCAGTTCTAAAAATAATCTTTCCTCTTTTGTAGTTCCTTGTTCTTCTTTTCAACCTTGACTGAATACAAATTCATCATGGATTATGTAAGGAATAACATATGTAGAACTATTTGGGGCAGGACAGAAATCTCTTTAAGAGGAATTTATTTGTCCTCATAATGTGAAATGTATAGGCAAGGCATTTAGTGATAAATAAAAACTGAAAGCTCAATAAAAATTGTTCTGAGGAAGTGTCACTTGACCTGAAATGTTAACTTTGATTTCTCTCCACAGATGCTGCCAGATCTGCTAAGCTTTTCCAGCAATTTCAATTTTTGTGTCAGTCATTTTAGTGATAAAGTTGGCTATACAAATTGCCTGTGGAAGTGCTTGTAAGATGTATAGGAAAGCATAGAAAATCGGAGCAGGAGTAATCTATTCAGCGCATCGAGCCCATTCCACTATTCAATATCAGCACAGCAAATCCTTTCGTACAATACCGTACACCTGCTGTCCTATACCCCTTAGCACCTTTAGCTTCTCGAAATCTACTTCTTTCTTAAACCTTTTCAGTAACTTGGCCTCCAGAGCATTCTGTGGTTGAAAATTCCACAGGTTCACTGCCCTCTGAGTGAAGAAGTTTCACCTCACCTCAGTTCAAAATGGCCTACTACAGACCTGAGATCCTGACCTCTTTATTCTGTCCCCTACCTCTGGCCAGCAGAAACGTCATTCCTGCATCAAATCTGTCCATTCTTCTAAACTCCAGTGAATGCAGGCCCGGTCAAGGCAATCTCTCTTCATATGATGAGCCTGCCATACCAGGAATCAATCTGATGAACTTTTGCTGCACTCCCTCTATAGCATGTTTATTTTTAATTAAGCAAGGTAGCCAAAATTACACACACTACTGCAGGCATGGTCTCGCCAAGGGCTGGTACATACTGAAGGTTTCCTTCATACTTAACTCAAACACTCTTGCAATGAAAGCCACATACCTTTTCCATTCCTAATTGCTTGCTGCATCTGCATGTTGCTTTCAGTGACTTGAGTACAAGTACCCCCAGATCTGTTCGTACGTCAACGTTTCTCAATCAATCACCATTTAAATAATATTCTGCCATCTGCTTTTCCTCACAAAGTGGATAGTTCTGTACTTATCCCTGTTAAACTTCATCTGCCGTACATATGCCCACTCACTCAACTTGCCAAAACCACTCTGAAGCCTCTTCACTTCCTACTTACCATTTTTAACTCCACCTAATTTTGTCATCAGCAAGCATGAAATGTTACATTTGATTACCTCCATTACATCATTGATGTGCATTGTGAATAGTTGAGGCCCAAGCATTGATTCATTCTCTGGTCCATTTGCGCATTCCACTCCGAAAACAACCCACTTATTCTTACTCTGTTTCCTAAATGCTAACCAATTCTCATTGCACTCCAGTACGTTGTCACCAACCCCTTGTGTTTTGATACTGTACCCTAATCTATCAAAAGCTTTTTCTCCAAATACCACATTCACTAGTTCTCCCCCATCTGTACTAGTTTCGTCCTCAAAAAAGAATGCTTGAGTAGGTTTGTCAAATGCAACTTTTCTTCAATAAATCTACATTGACTTGACAATCCGTTGTTGGTATTTCCAAGTGTCCTGCTATAAATCCTTTACTATGGACTCTAGCACTTTCCCTACTGATGCTAACTAGGTTGTATATTCCGTTCTCCTCCTTTAAGTGGTGGAGTTATATTATATTATGAATCTGCCAGGATTGTTACAAAACACAGAATTTTGGAAGATGACAGCCAACATTTTTGTATTTGATTTCTATGGCCACCTCTTGGAATGTAGCTGATCAGGCCCTGGGGATTTAACAGCCTTCCGTCCCATTAATTTCTCCAGCACTCCTTTTGTTTTATGTAATTAATATTAATCACCTTCATTTCCTTCTTGCCAAATAAACTCTTGCTTCTCCAACATGTTTTGCAAAGCGACAAGTAAATAGCATTACAAATACTACACCTATGAGAGTCACCAAATGCATGTAATATTGTCAGGTTGAGACATTTATCTGTTCTTCTGCTTCACTAATGTTGGTACTTACCAAAAAATCAGAAATTACTTCTGAGTTAACGTACAGCTAGATCATAAATCATCAATGTGACCACACTCCGATTCGTCCATATTATCTATCAGTGCCATCAATAATGTTTCAAAAGATGGGGAATTCTGTACCATAACTGAATTGATTTGTACATTAGTTTTATCAATTGCTTACACCTGGTTCACTATTCTGCACCTGCCAGATTTAAAAACACTGAAGCCATTGGAGCAGAAGTAACTCGTTTGGTGAGGCTGGATCCTGGAGCTGTTAGCGATATCCCAGAAGCCATACGGGTAAGACTATGAAATGAAATTAATGTCCCTGAAATAACCATCTTTGCATACAACCTTTAAATGTATGAGTTACAGAAAATAGGAAAAGCTTAATTTGAAAATAAGATAAATTTCTCATGATTTTGCAACAAAATGTGTTTATGGTTATTTCCAGGGGTCAGATGTGGTGTCATTTTAGTTGCTTTTCAACATATTTCTGCAAAGTTTAAATTTTTTGTTCTGTGTTTGTGACCTTCTAATCATGACTCATGATGAGATGCAAGTGACAAGACAACAGGCTACTTTGTAAGTTAGAATTGCTTTTTATGTATCTTTGACAATTCTTGTAGATAACTCTCATCAATCTTTTCATTGAACCTTGTGAGAATGCTAAGAAGTATTTAGCAGCTGGCTGAAAATGCTTACGCAGTTGCAATTTGTCTGAGAAGCTAACACGTTATAAAACTTGGATTTCAGTGACTGAGATGGTCCACCACATAATCTTCAGGCACTGTCCATTGAGAGTGCACTTCTTTTTTGATGGTGGAGGAGGGCAAGGAGATATAGTCTTTGTGGATTATTCTTGGGGATCATTCCTTTCAGAGGATGGCTGAGAATTTTTTGTATTTGGCAATGCTCATCTATAAGGATTCAGGTTCAGTCTTAACATGGGTAAGAGCAGGAAGTACAAGTGACTGCTAGGTCCACTGGAGTACTAATGGAAGTTTGTTTATATTGTGGGTGTTCACCATGAGAGGGAAAACATTAAACCATTGGCAGTAACAGAATCAAAAATGTGTAAGTTGTTTTCAAATTTATTTCAAAAGCTTTTGGGTTAAAAGAGACCTGACTGGAGTCAAACGCAAGTATTGTTTGTTAGGTAATAAAACTAGTGCAGGTACGATGGGCTTCCGTCTGCACCATTTCTATTCTTTGACTCTTTCTAAAAGTTTCCCCACCACTGAAAATAAACTGACTGTTCTGTAATTGCTAGCTAATCTTTACACACTGTTTTGAATAAAAGTGTAACATTTGTGACTTTTCCAGTCCATTGACAATATCCCCGAGTCTAAGTAAGACTGAAAAATTATGGCCAGTGCCTCTGCAATTTCAAGTCTCTTTGGTTGTACTTCATGTTGCATCGTCAGCCACAGGCTGAAAGAAACTTGCCAGCTTTAAGTACAGATAGTATATCCAATACCACCACCTTGTCAGTTTTAGACCTTTCTAGTGACTCATTGTCCTCTCTCTGTCACCATGGCTAGGGTAACATCCATTTCTTTAGTAAAGACAGATGCAAAATGTTCCACTAATACTTCAGCCATATCCCTTACTTCCATGTGTTAATTCCAAATGTGGTCCCTAATTTATCCCTTTGCCTATTTAAATGCTTGTAGAAGACTTTTGAGATTACCTTTTTTTGTTATCTGATAGTTTCTTTTCATTAAACCCTCCTTGCTTCTCTTATTTTTTTCACCTATCTTCTGAATCTTCTTTATTCAGCCTGGTTCTCAAATCATTTTTAAGAGTGTTTTGTAAAGGACTCTTAAGAGTTTGTATCAATTGTAAAGGGATCACTTATCATTTCCTTGGTTAATAATAATACTGACCCAAGTGACATGGCAATCCTTGATCTGGAAACCGTACCAACAAGAAGGAAGTTGATTCAGAAGCCATGTGGCCAGACACACATGCAGGAAAGCTACATGCGAAAAACTGAGAGAAAGCCATCAACCTTCAGTTTCAGGTTCGAAGAGAAAACAGACAGAAAAGGGGATGGAGAGTTTGCATGAGGAGAAGCCAGCAAGTAGAGCTCAGTTTTTGTTTTGACAGTAAGAAGAAAAATACAATTCTAGAAGTGACAATGCAAGAGTGACCTGAAAAAAACTGAGTCTAAAAGGTGATGTGAATAACACAGGCATGTGAAAGAGCTGAGTTTGTAGCAGAAGACCAGATTGTGAACCGCATATCATTTGGCCAGTTGGTTGAAAATATATTATTTAAAACTACACAATGAAGTGTTGATGCAAACGATATCCAGGGACTCAGATGGAATACGCCTGTCAATGAATGCAACTTGAGGCTGAATTGATTGAATTGGAAAGATTTAAGAGATTTCGTTTTAGGCTGCATTTATGCAGGGAGTGATGGGGATTGTAATGTGAGATGTATCTTTGTTGTATCAACTACTTAAAGCATAATCTATCTTTTTATTTGAAGTAACATTTACCCATTTATTCACCTTTGATTTGCATTGGTTATGATTTGCTTTAAAGTAGACGTTATAAGAACAGTAATGTCTTCATTTGGTTGTCGTTTGATAATTTTGGTTTGCAGTTTTCCCCAAGGGGTTTGTAATTCAATGGAATGCAAAATGATATGAGTCAATATTGGATACAGGTCAACAGAGCTATGGCTTTCAACTTCTGCAAAAGTTTCCATGTACTGCACAGCCAGTGAATTTCTCTTGAAATGCAGTCATTGTATACTGAGGGAAATATCCAGAGATCCTCTTTTCTTTAATAGTATTGATCAGTTGTTAAATCAGTGTTAACCAGGACATCAGATACACTTTCTAGCCCTTCAATAGGGCCAGAAGATATTCATGTTCACTTCTAGAGACACACCTCAAGCTGTCAGGTCAGCATCTCATCTAAAAGATGGCATATCCGATAGTGCTGTGCTCCTTCATTATTGCACTGAAATGGATTTTGAACCCAACAAGTTGGATAGTGCTGCAGCACACCCGTGTGCTCTGTACAGGTCGATGGGACATGAATGTGGTGAAGGCAATTAAATGTAGAGAAAAGTTGGACAATAAAGTGAAAAGACAAAACTGGAGGTGTTTGACAGGTAATTTTGTTGAGATACCTGAGCTAGCTAAGGGGATAGGAAAGGTAAATCTGGACTGTTATTTTCAATTGAACAATGGAAACAGGTGCAAATTAATAAAATGTTCACAAATACTTCTTTGCTGTATGAGTGATGAATGCTTGGAACGAACCCCAGTGAGAATAATGGAAGCTCAATGTTATAATCTGCTATAAGTAGTTGGATGCGAAATAGTGGAATGTATAGACTTTCTGGCTGGGTAAAATAAGATGGGCAGAAAGGCCATTGTTCACCATTGTGTTCTTATTACAAAAGTTAAAACAAAAAGCAATTTTCTGGAAATGAAAACTTAGGATTGCCCCTCAATATCTCATGGAAAAGAACAATGAATCCATTTACAAGCTTTCACTTCCTGAAGATTTGAGGGTAAGGTAATTAATATGATCTGGACTTCTTGTAAGCATAATCTTCATTTTCTAATCCTGGCGTTGGCATTTAGAAAGTTGAATGGGGAACTTGTTCCTTTTTCTACTGACTGGCTTGGAATACAATCCACCTAACATTCTGGGAGATTTTTTTTTAAAATTGCTTTTTTCTATAATGGAGAAAATGACACTACATACTGAAAGCAAACAATAAATTAGTCTGGCAAATACAGGTGATTGAGAAGTGCATGAGGCTAACTGACTTTGTTTGTTTGCTAAGTTAACCCCTTTTTCCTTTTGCATATTTTAGTTTGCAATGTAGTCACAATTTTTGCACACTTATCAAATATTCTCGAAAGTAAACATGAAACATTATTCATCTGTCACCACTTGAATGCAGTTTACTTCAACATTGGCTTCCTGTACATCGGGGAAACCAAGCGGAGGCTCGGGGACCGCTTTGCAGAACACCTACGCTCGGTTCGCAATAAACAACTGCACCTCCCAGTCGCAAACCATTTCAACTCCCCCTCCCATTCCTCAGACGACATGTCCATCCTGGGCCTCCTGCAGTGCCACAACGATGCCACCCGAAGGTTGCAGGAACAGCAACTCATATTCCGCTTGGGAACCCTGCAGCCCAATGGTATCAATGTGGATTTCACAAGTTTCAAAATCTCCCCTCCCCTCCCCCTACCGCATCCCAAAACCAGTCCAGCTCGTCCCTACCTCCCTAACCTGTTCTTCCTCCCACCTATCCCCTCCTCCCACCTCAAGCCGCACCTCCTTCTCCTACCGACCAACCTCATCCCGCCCCCTTGACCTGTCCGTCACTCACCTTTACTGGCTCCATCCCCGCCTCTTCGACCTGTTTGTTTCCTCTCCACCTATCTTCTCCTCTATCCCTCTTCTATCCGCTCCCACTCTCTCCCTATTTATTTCAGAACCCCCTTCCCCTCCCCCTTTTCTGATGAAGGGTCTAGGCCCGAAACATCAGCCTCTCTGCTCCTATGATGCTGCTGGGCCTGCTGTGTTCATCCAGCCCTGCACCTTGTCTCGGATTCTCCAGCATCTGCAGTTCCTACTACTTCAACATCTGCTTGATTCTGGGAACCTTTTCAAGATGTTGGAATGATGGTGACTTCTGGTTGATCCCTCATTTCATGACTGTTGCTGGTATTCTTTAATTGCAATATCATTATTCACATATGAATCTGTGAGTAAGTGTAAGGCTGTTTTTGATTCTGTCCTTCCCAATGTGCTTTTCTGAAAGAAGTCATTTGCTAGCCTGGCTGATGACCTTTCCTAAGGAGCAGTGATTTGATCCTCCGCATTTAATTTCAATTTAATTTAGTGGGAGATAGTGGCAGTGATCATTTTGCTAATCATTTAGCCATGGATTCCAGTCCTACATAGCAGCGGTGGAATTTAAATTCAATTAATAAAGTCTGGGATTCAAAAGTGGACTAAGTAATGGTGACCGTGATCCTATTAGCGAATATCGTAAAAACCTATTTTGTCAGCAAATATCCTTTTTAAGGAAGGAAATCTGTCCTTTCTGAACTGGCCTACGTGTGACCCAGACCTACAGCAATGCAGTTGACTCTTGATTGCCTTCTGAAATGATCGAGCAAATGACTCAGTTCAAGGGCAACTTGGGATGGGCAAAAAATACTGCCATTGCCAGTGGTGCCCACATCCTATAAAAGAAAAATAATTAAATTTATGCATCATTGCAATATATTTTCTCACTTGCCTAACGTG